GATTAAATAAGGCAGTATTGGAGAATGCACTAGAAATATGGGAAATATGAAAATAGGTGTTTTTCTCTTTATATTTTTTGAAAAACAGTAGCTCTAGGGAAAGAGAACAATAATAAAGATAAATATTTTTGAATATTTCAAAGATAAGGAAGGTGATAATTTCACATATTGAATGTTTCATTTATTACCATGATAAACGGAAAAGAAAGATAATAAAATTTTTAAATAAAAAAGAAAGTAATGAAGATAGACTGCTAAATCTTTATTCACTGAGTTCTTTTCTAGACTCTATATGGACCATTTCCTTTCTATAAGATTTCCTTATTTACATATAGTCAAGTTATAGGTTTTCTTTTATGGTATTAAACCTTAGTCCTGAAATCCTAATCTTGTTTCTCCTGTAAAACGTCTTGTCCTTTAAAGGGGTCCAGATAGCTAATCTCACCCATTGTGCCTTGAATTTTGCGTGTTTAATCACAAAGATACCTCGTTTCCAAGTAGACAGTGAGCAGTACCTCACCAAGTCTACATTGGTGTAGTATATGCAGAGTAGCTATTGAGTAATTTAGGCTGAAATTATTTCCAGTGTATCAGATTATCAGATTATCCCTATGTGGGCCTTCTATATTTAGTGCTTTAACATTGAAATACTATAAATCTACTATCTTTATTTGTTATGATAGCAGCAAAGGTGTGAGTGAGTCTTTTAAATTGTTCTAGAATAGTAGGCATATTCTTGTTTTAGAAATGTTGGAAATACTTAAGTCAGTGGACATTATTAATACATACTGCCTGGTAGAAATATTTACTTTTATCTGAGTGCAGTGTGAAGCTGGGACAGTTCAGATTGGTGCCCCACCAGAAATTGTCATGTACCAGAATCATGTGGCAGGCTTGATAAAACACACATAACTAGATCCTACCCTCAAAGTTTCTGATTAAGTCTGGGGTGGGCCCCCAAATTTATATCTATAACAAGTTCCTAGATTTTGCTTGTGCTTCTGTTCTAGGATTTACACTTTAGCATTAATATGAACAACTCCAGAATGACTGTCCACACATCTGATAGAATCTGATTAAGTAGTGTCATTGGTGGCTGAGTCCCTTCCTGGGAACCTGAAGGCCAGAAAATTTACCTCTTTCATCATTTGCTTAATTACACTATAATGTATGTTCTTTTTGTTTGTTAGTATCTTTCTGTTAATCTCATCACCAGCATCTTCGTGACAACCATGTGATAATTATGACAAATGACAACTTCTCTTTTAATTATGTTTCAGGGTGATTACAATTCAGAAATTCATCTGGTCACAAGAGAAAGAGATGAACTTCAGCGTATGCTAGAAAGATTTGAAAAATACATGGAAGATATACAGTGCAATGTTAAATTATTGACAGCAGAAAGAGATAAACTAAGTGTCTTATATAATGAAGTAAGAAGTTTATTATAATTAAGTCAATAGATTATTTAGAAGCAGATAACTGTAATGGAACCAATGTATATCCTGCAGATTTCTGTAACATACGGACTGTAGGGAACAGGGGAAGGGGATGTTACCAGAACCTCTGCAGTAAGTCCTAGTCTCTTGTGAGCCACGGCAGCACACGGCAAATTACAGGAAAGGTAGACAAATGAGACTGAGAAGAAGCTGAGCTTCGGGTCTGATCAGTGGTGCTCTGGGCGGCAAAGAAGAAAGCCCCCAGCTTACCACACCTTTTATTCAGTACTCAGTACATCGGGAGAAACAAAGTGTAACAAGTGACTTGCAGAGAGTTCAGTACATCCTGCGTAAATAAGATGTAACAATCCAAGAACAAGGAGGAACTGAGTAGATGTTTGTTCCTCCCAGGATGTTTTCAGCTCCCAGGATGTTTCTTGTCCTGGAGAATCACGGACAGCACCACGGGATCATTGAGGTCTCAGTTGTGACCGGAGGCCAAAATGCAATTATGTCTCAGAATCCCATAGCTGGGCTGTAGGCAGGAGAACTAGGCCTACTCAAATGATTTTTCCCTAAAATTATGTAGCATTGCTCCCAACAGTGGACCTTATAATAGTCCTTCATAATTATAAGTAGTAGTAGTTTCTGCTGTTATCTAATTCTCAAAGCAGAGATTTCTCTTTTTTTCATATTTACTTTTCATTTTTTCTAGCCTATGTATGTTTCAGGTCAATTAGAGATCGTCAGTTTCTTCTATAAGTACCTGACTCTGAGCCAAGTTTATCCTTAATTTAGACATGCTCCAACATGCCCGAGTCCCAGGAACAGACTTGGGTAGCAACCAGTGTTTGGAATGGTGGCTGTTAAGGGCTTACCCTCTGATGAAGAAAACATCTCTAGGGAAGAGTAATTTGGTATAGCCTGGCCTCGTTACACAGCCTCAGTTGTCAGAGGGCCCAGTGAGTCTGCACAAAGCCTAGTCTGTTCCCTCAATTTGTTCCCATGCCCATTTCTCATGATGTGCTATTAGTACTTTGACAGGAGGGAAAAGACAGGCAAGTTAAAAGGTCAGGATAATAGAACTGTTTTCATTTTTTGAGCTCTTTTAGGATTTGACTGCAAGTTGGTCCAGCTCTGGGCTTTCCCCATAGTCGGCTTAGATTTGAGTTTTTTTGGGTCTGCTTAGTTAATTTCTACTTGTCTGTCTGCCATCCAGTTTTCAACATTTTGTGACTGCCACCTCTCTCAATCTCCTTGTCTTTTTGGTGTTACTATTTAATTTTAATCCTTTTACTCTCATTTTGTTGGCATTTGGGAAGACAGTAAAAGTAGCATGTGTTCAGTATGCCCTTTTTAAAACAGGGAATATATCCAAAGTGTTTTATATTTACATCTTTTAATTCTTTAAGGCTCAGGAAGAATTATGTGCACTAAGACAGGAATCAGCCCACACCACCATCCCCAGTAGTCTTGTTAATCTTAGGGAAAAGGAAAAGGAACTTGCTTTATCGGACTTAAGAAGAATTATGGCAGAAAAGGAAGATTTAAGAGAAAAGTTAAAAGTAAGTCATAAAATGGACATACTTTTGAAAGATAATTTGTTAAGAAAGAGATTGCCATACATGTGTTCCTATGATGTTACTGTTTAGAATGTACAATTAAATTGGGGATGGCTTAAAACAGTGCCATCCAAATTCAGACCACCTTGTTTATGTCTGGCCTGCAGCTAAGAATGGTTTTTGCATTTTTAAACTGTTAAAAAATATCAAAAGAGGAAGAATGTTTCATTGTTGATAAATAGTGTTGTTGGAATTCCTTTACATTTTGTCTGTAGCTTTTTATGTGATCCAGTGGTAGAAGTGAGAAGTGCAATGGACACATTTGGCTCTCAAACCCTAAAATATTGGCTGGCTGAACAGGAAAAGTTTACCTACCCCAAACTCAAAAGGAAGTTTTTCACGTGGAAAGCAATGAGATTTACATATACTATACAGTTCACCCACTTAAAGTGTATAGTTCAGTGATTTTTAGTGTACTCACAGACGTGGGCAACCTTCACCACAGTCAGCTTTAGAGAGTTCTTATCACCACAGTAAAATGCTCAGCACCAGTTAGCAGCACATCCTGTTTCCAGTAGGTCTCCTCACTGTAGGCAACCACTAATCCATTTTCTGTTTCTGTACATATGCCTGCCTTGGACATTTCATATAAAAACATGAGTGCCTCTCACACACACACACACACACACACACACACTCACTGGGGACTGTAGCCAGGGCATCAGAGGCAAGCCCTCCACCCCTGAGCTAATTCCCCAACCCAAATATGTGATTTTTATGTCTGGCTTCTCTCATTATTATAAAGTTTTCAAGGTTCATTCGTGAATAATGTTTGTATAAATGTTTATGTACAGCTTTTGGTGTGGATGTTTTCATCTCTCTTAGGTAGATACCTCGTAACTCTGGTTCATATCCCAAGTCTTTAACCACTGAGGCCAGGCTGTTTTCCACATTTTGCCATACCATTTTGTGTTCCCACCAGTCATGAATAATGTTTCCAGTTTTTCCACATTCTCTCCGGTACTGAGTCTTTTTTTTTTCTTTTTGTTAAATTCTTTTATTGGTACATTTTAGGTATACAACACAATTGCATTTCTCATTGGGAACTTGTACCCTTACATGATGCATCTTGTTTCTTATTTTTTCCCCATTCCTAGCCCTCCCTTAACCCCCTCAACTCTTCCCTATTTACAAAGACTTTATTTCCATTTTTTCCATTTCTCAGCATTTTTCCTTTCCCTTCTTTCCTTTCCCCTGCCCTTCCCACT